TCGTACTTGATTTTGAGATATATATATATATATATATATCCACTTTGAGCGAATTAATAGGGTATGTAGATTTGACTGATTTTTGTGAAATTTCGCCAAAACATTTTAGGTATAATGACGAACGAAAGTATGTCAGAAGACTTTGACATTTGTAACATTTTTCACGTGGTGTCCATTCACGCAACACGTCTCGCATATTTTACGCTACTCTAACTTTTGCTGAGGATATCTAGACGACCAATCAGAAAATCGGAAAAGCCCGACACACTTTTGTTGATTGATGCCTTGTGAATAAGACTGTGCATCCATTTTACTCGTGCTGCGGGATCCGATACCCGTTAAATTAAATAGAAGGATCCCCCTTCGTTTCACGCCTTACCGGTCCCTGGCACTGCATTTATTAGGCTATCTTTTGATGTATAGTTTGTTAGAGTTTTCTTGAAACTAGCGTGCGTGCGAATTTTTTGCCGAAGGATACCCGCGAAGGTGGGAAGTAACCTTGCCGAACCGTGGAACAAGAGCGAGGTTAAGTTTGACCTTGTTGCTGCTTTTCGAATGTAAAGACGGCTTAAATGAGGCACGAGATCTCCAAAAAGGCCAACATTATGACATAAGCATAATGTGATTTTATCTCGAGGCCCTTCATATATATAGTTATATATATAGTTACGAAGTATTTAGGTGTGCCTTTGCATGGGGCAAGGAGCGTTGTCAATCACAGATCTTAAGCCAATGAAATGCGTCCGGATCAAATAGCACCAAGGCTATAGGCAAGGTCAGTTTCTCTCCTGGTCCTTCTCGCCTTCATTCCCATCGTATTAACATCCGAAGACAGACTTTCGGTACTGTAGAAGAATTTTCCCACCCCCTCCCCATGCTCCGGCCTTCTCCTCAAGCTTTCGTTGCCTTTTTTATACGTATTTGGCTCTTTGCCGATATTTAGCCCCACCTTTGCTTAAGAGATTGCGTGATGTTTGTTATATCAATGTTCTTGATGTCGGGTGAAATAAAAGTGTCACTATTGTGGCCAATTTATCCCACATTAGCAGTTTTTATCTCCCGTCGATCTCGTCAGCAAACTATTGCGACGTCACGCAGAGCTTTGGTCCCGTTTCAGTAGGGACACGCGGGTTTCGAGATAAAATATGGATAATCCAAGGAACTCTAGAAAAACTCTCAAGAGGATTGCTCCAACTAAATCTGCGCCCTCTAATTTTTCATTCATTAAGGCGGAAGTTAAAAGTATTTGTGATCCTAAGGGAATGGCCAACACCTTCCATAAACATTTTACTAATATCCAACAAAACGCAGTAGCCGGTAGTGGATACTAACAAAGATAATCATCGACTAACTGATTTTGTAGAAAGTCGCGATTCAATAATTCAACCGTATTCCACATCCTCCAATCAGTGTGAAACAGGTGGTTGAAGATTTTAGAACATTCCTGATAAGAAAGCCTCTGGACTTGAGGGAATTGAAACTAAACCCTTAAAGCTTTGAATGCTATTGCTCCTTCTCTCACTCACATCTACAATGCTAGTATTGCAAGTGGTTCTTTCCCGGAAAACTCAAAGACAGCGAAGCTGGCCCCTGTTCACAAGAACAACTCAATCCATGATAGAAGCAACTAACGTCCCATAGCCGCAATATCTAAACATCTGGAGAGGCATGTTGCGCTATAGCACCTTTATCTTACCATCGAGTACAGTTACACAGTATACATCGAATACTGTTACACAGTAAACAGTCGGCACATCGCCCTTGTCATTCTTTTTAACCAGCACTTTTGAGTCTTACTGACAATTGGCTCAAAGCTACGGAATCGCGAAAGAACTTGTCGGCGCTGTACTGACGGACCTTAGTAAAGCTTTTGATCTGGCAGATCACAGCTTACTTTTATCAAAACTCAATATGTAACACATTGATATTACATCACTGGTGGTTTTTTTACCCACACGATCGAACACAGCGATGTTGTTTCAATAGATCACTGTCTGACGCACTATCAACTACTCGAGTCGTTCCACAAAGTTCCTTCCCCTCTTGGGTCCCATCTTTTCTTGTTGTATATCAATGACTTTCCACTTGCAATACCTGATTGCAAAGTGGATATTTACTCCGATGACACTACAATATGGATGGCTAACTCTAATAACAAATAGTAAATAATAAATAAATATAAATAATTTAGCAATGGACATTCCACTGAGTGGCTCTT